TGAAACACCGCCACCATTTTTAGTAAAGAAGAAAGGCCATCGCAGAAAAAAGAAACTGTTCCCCCAGGTGGGAATTGAACCCAGACCATTAAGGTTAATAGGGGAGTGTATCTCAAGCATGTCACGAGACAGTTTTTTTTCTTTATTCATATCACGACGCATCGACGTAAGCTAAGATGCTATCTGGCGGGAAAGCATTGCGGTCATCCGCTCTGTGTCTGGCAGATAGCGGCTTGACATCCTGACACAGGTTTTTAAAACCCGCGTTAACGACGGTAGCTCCATTCCAGGAATTGCTACCGAGTGTACAAGCTACGAGCTAAGTCAGCCTCAGAACAAACCAACGAAGAGCGCCGAAAACGTAGACGCCACACGAAACGTGTGTCGACTACACTTTCGGCGCTTGCAACAAAATTCCGCGTATAAAGCGGGCAACGCAATTCCCCAGCAATTTGCTATGAATATTTATGAAGACAATTTCAGCACTAGCCGTATCGGTCATGTATTCAATTATATTCTGGTAGTCTTCGTGTAGCTCTGTTTTACGCAAACATAATACAAACTTTAAAAAGGTATGCAGGGACCAGCTACTTAAAAGAAAATGAGAGAGAAGCTTCGGGAAAAGGAGCAAGGAGCGTAGGAAGCAAACATCAGGCACATAGATTCGGCCATTCCGCGTTATGACGACCGATTTAGTCTAATGCAAATAGTGTAAATAATTAATATAGATGATGTGCCTCTACGAAGCTGTTTCTTGAGGTCAACCAAGATAAGTCGCCAAAAATGTCCACCGGAGTTCGCTAATCTGCGTCTCAATTCTTTAACTGGAACCTGAGTGAAAATTATTTTAACACATATTGTATTTCATCTGTCAGTTTTCATTTAGAGGTCTGTAACGATTTGAGGGTAACGTTTGGGTGTAACAATATACTGAGACTGAAAGCGTTACCCTTATAGAAACCACATAAAAAGATTACAGTCCCCTGGCAGGATTATACCTCACCACCTTGTGATTGTGAGCCGCGTGCTTTACCGACTGAGCTAGCAACGGCTAAAGTGCTTTAATGTCCTTCTGTTTAGGGTGATGCCATTGTTTGTTGTACCCGATGCCGACCTAAAGGGCTCTAAGGAAAAATACAAAGAACTCGCTGAAACAAAATGCCACTGCGGCTCAATCAACGCCAAGAGAACACGCAGGGAGACGCTGTTTCACACGCTCCAGAACAAAAGAGATAAATGAACGTTCACATCAAAATTGCCAGACGTCATCACCCTGAGCAAAGCGGAAATGAAGGCATTGTAGCGAGGGACGGCGTAGGCTCTCATTGCGAAGAAAGGCGCTGTCGCGCGGCGTTCGAAGGCCACGCGCCAAGGCGCGGTCATGTGCCTCACGGCCTCGAAAGCGTGTGGGCATGCCATACTGCGCAATCTCAAGGCGTTTGTCATAAATGGGAGCGAAACTCCGACACAGTTGATTTATAGCGGGGTGGTGCCGTTTAAACTCCTTTCTCTTCCCCTTGTGGAAGAGAGACTAGCTTATCAAGAACATAAGAGACGGCAAAAGCAGCAGGAAGAGTCTTCGCCAGGGACTCTGCAGACGAACGCCGATTGATGTAAGGCGTATTCCACTCTCTATACTTACCAGTCTTTGTCAGCGAGACCAAGCTGTAATTTTTTTTATTAGGGTATCTACATTGCTCAAAGAGAATAAAGTTGATCAAATGAATAAACAAAAATGTGAACAACGTTCAGTGTCCTGCAATATGAAAAAAAAAAAAAAAACACGTGGACCACGTGGCCGAGCTAGACAGCGGCGGGCGGGGATGCTGCGCGCGCTCCGGGCGATTCCACTCAGCTTTAAGGGGAGGACACTCGGAGCTCAAATGGGCCTGAACGCATTTAGAAATTTTAGGTTTCGATCTAGCGGAAGAGCGCGCCTCATCGGCGTCATGCCCAGAAATATAGCCACGAAAGCTCGTCCCAAGCTAGTTATCGCTGTCTTTTTATTGTGTGTATTTCATGTAAAACACCAGAAGAAGCACCGCCAAAAATAAATTCTTTATACCTGAGTTTCATATTTAAAAAATATAATGGTCGAAGAGCACAATCGCTGGTTTCAAAAATGGCCAGGCTCTCGCACATTGACAGAGTAAGAATAATCGCCTTGGCTAAGGACGGTCTCTCCCGGACAGTAATTTCAGCATTTGTAGGAAATGTTCGTGGCATGACGCTGCCGAAGTGATCTACACCGCAAATCCGAAACCAGAAACTGATAAGCGCGCGATGGCGCTTTCGCTGAGCCCCGAGTGGGTTTTTCTGTCGGGGTTGAATGGAATCGCTCGGAGCGTGCGCAACGGCCCCCGCCAGCCACCTTCTCGGCCATACTCTCCCAGTGAGTATTTCATAATGTGGGAGACTGTACATTTGCACAAACTGGGAAGGACATGGTGGGGTGGGGTGCATTGACAATTCTATAGTTGATGTGTTTTCATATCAAAGGAGAAAAAATAACGGTCCAAGCATCTGTGGGGCGTTTAACGTCTCGTAGTTTCATCCCGAGGTTGTTTTGTTTCGAAAAGAAATATGGAACCTTAATATGTATTTTTTTTATCAATACCCGTTTGATAGTTACAAAGAGTATAAAAAAATGAGACGGAAGCATTTTGTCTGTTGATAAAAAAGTTCCTAACCGAGTTGGCACGTAGCGTCAATGAGCATATAATCAACTGAGATCACGTTTTGTACGCTGTCGGTTCGCAAATTACTCCAGCAAAACCTTCTCCCGGCTTGGTAGGCGCCGAGGTCACTTCCGATAGTTTGCAGCGAGGAAATCTTCCTAATACTATTGCGGAAAAAACAGGCGCCTGCTATCACGAAAGTCGTTAGATTGTACTGTGTGCTCTGGTTCTGCGAAGGGAAAAAGAAAAACATAGAAAGTGGAGAACGATTTGACGAAGAAGGACGAAAAAAAAAGGAGTATGGCACCTCAATGTCACAGAAATGCGGTGAATAAAACTTTTCTGCGTTTAGCAATGAATACCTAGAGATGTGTTCTACACGAGAGGACTCGGTACTATATGATTATCACTTTAGGGAGAGGTAGTTATACGTGGTGTAATCGTAGAGTTCAATGCCCCACTTATGTTAAATAAAGCGCATATTAAAATGACACGCAGTACCAGACCGAGTAGCGAATGCTTGTCAACAATGAGAAATACGTGAATGGTGTAAGTTGAAATAGAAAAACAAACGCACAAACCAACTTCAAAGTTTGACGCAACAGTCGGGCTAAAAACAAAATATGCCACATTACATACAAAAATGCCGCCATTAAAATGTGTAGTTTGGGCGGTATATGGAAGTATACTCCCACCTCCTTAGTTACACTGTTTTGCAGTTCGGCCGTTAGGTCGTGCCAGTTTTCTCTGCACACTTCAATAGGCGGTAGCACCCGGTTTCACTCCGTGGTGTCTTTTCAGCTGGGTGCCGTCGCTCTACTTGAATTGTAAATGGAAAAGAGAATAAAATGTGGGAAACAAAAATAAAAAAGTAACCAACCTTCGAGATATACATGGCAAGACAAACTGAAAATAATTATAAGAAAAAAATTGAAAATTATAGATCTTGTGCGTTAGTATACGATTCCAGGCCAGGGATTTTGAGAAATAGTACTTATCCAAGCAAGTACCAGGTGATAGGTGCCAGATCGATTATTTCGAGGAAGGAATTGGAAATACAGCGCATGTCAGTATGGAATGTAAAGGGATTGGAAGACTAAGGCCGTCGTGCGGAGTTCGACTTCCTCGGGGCACTTGTATTCCACGTGAGCGGTGAAACAAAAAGATTAGAGGCCTCGTGCTTAAAATCATGAGAGGGATAGAAATCAGCTCATATTAAACCGGTTCAAATGAGATTTCAGTGTAGCACAAAGGAGACTATTTGACTAGGTTCACAAGTCCCCGCCCGATTGGAGTGGTACAGTCGCCATGCATGCGTGTATCCATTAATTCGGAAAACACAGTGGGCTGTGTTTTGCGACTCGAATGAAATTTTCTTATCTAGTGGTGTGAACGCCAGGTTCGCGATTGACGTCGTTTCAATATTATACCGCACATTAAAAAGGATAAACATCCCACCTTTCGAACGGCGATGGTTAATCAGCTGAAGCGATCAAGGATACGATTCATTGTGCTCATAATTTGGACGTTCAACACTTTTGCTTACTCAGTTTTTGTATAAGCTAAAGACCCAAATGAAATGACTCCTACTATGATACCATTTAAAGAATGCCATTTTTAAAGGCCGTGTCATTCTGACATTTGTCAAATCCCCAAAACATCAGAAAAACAGTCGACCATTTAAAATTTCCAAAGTATAAATACGATTAAAATGAATAGTGCCATGTCGTTTTCATTGGAAACCAATGCCGACATTTGACAAAAACAAAATATTTCCATGGTAAACGACAATTGGAATTCTTTAGTATATATATATATATATATATATATATATATATATTCATTGATATTACGAGGCTTTGACTTCTTTCGATATCTTGGAAGCTTTTATATTCTGCTTCTGTGCGAAGAATTTCAATTATTTTGAGAAATGCTCCAAAAGAAACATTCATAAATACATTGCAAACGGCGTGTCGGCTACGACTATCCCCCGTAAACTATTCAAACTTTGAACTTCGTTATATTTCACCACTGTTTTGTAAATAGTGATCGTGGTTATGTATCATTGCATAAGCACTGTGATTTTGTCGGTTGACGCAATCACTTTAAACTTGTCTTTTTGTTTCCGAATGTCGAACAAGTCAAACTTGTAGTAGGTGACAGTTTCTAATTGCCGTCAAGTAGGTAACCTGAGACACGTGTACGCAAGTAGCGTTAAAAATTTAGCATTTTTTAAGAGAGCCGCGGTTATGAACCAAAAGTAGGAAAATTGAAGTTATACACGTGCGGTCCTCCTAATACATGTCCTTATTATGAACGCAGGACGTTCCGCTGAGTATGTTGTCTACCCACGACTTCTGGAGGCAAGAGGAGTGAACGGAGAAAAACTTCTTCACATCGATGAGAAACTTACCCTTCGTTTAGAGAAAAGCTCTGTAGTTGCTGAAAATTTGGTTGTATCAACTCTTAATGTCAACGGGCAAGTGGATACTTTAGTAAGTATTTTTTTTTATTTTGAAATGCTTCTTTTTACCTAAACTGTCTTATCTACTTCCTAAACCTAATTTTGTATAAAATTAAGTTTTGTAAGCACCATCGTTGAGATGCCATGCCGATATGAGTTATGCATCGCTTAGATATGTGAACTCGAAGTAAGAACACATGCTATAGAGTTATAATTAAAAGTGATGCAAAGTAGTTCGAAAACAATGAACTGGGAAAGTGCAATAAGTCAAAGATCCGTACTTTCGGGGTTCCTATGCTAGGAGTTTATTGTATGTCTTACGACAGTTTCGCAAAGACGCTCGGCTTCGTCAGGAGATGGCATACATGTGACCACATAGATGTCCTCGCATGTATGCTATCTCCTGACGAAGCCGGGCGTCTCTGCGAAACTGTCGTAAGACATACAATAAACTCCTAGCTTAGCACCTCCGAAAGTACAAATTTTTGACTAGTTATAATTAAACATATTCTGATATCTGTGACGTAGATACGAGTATAGACCTTGAACCGCAAAGGTAAATAGCATAGCCTGCAAAATATTTTCAAACAATGATACAGTGCAGGTGAGCTGTTAATGAATCGACATCCAATGTAGACCCTGAGATGGGGATCAACGGACACACAAAGAGTGTTGCTTTATATATATATATATATATATATATATTTAAATTTGAAAAAAGTCATAAGTGGTATTTTAGTGTAACTTATTTTCTTGTGTTTTTAATAATTTTAAGCATCCACTCCTGATACTTATAACTAAACTCGAAGTCACCCTGAGACACGTTTTACCTATTTTTCTAGATTCCACATTTTGTTTTCCCTCGTGTAATAAACAAATTATTTCTTAAGCGTGTCTAAACATATTGAAAAACCAAGCTCTTCAGCGCGACAGAAATTTAGCGAACTTCTTAATTCCTTCGCGATCGAAAAAATAACATACTTATAAACACTAAAATAAGTTGGCATCCGAATGCAGAAATATAATAATGACAAGATTGTTCATTGCACCTCACATACCACACAGGGTGGCAATAATCTGAACTGATCATGGGCTCGAACGTAGAAACAATTTAGTTCATATTCCGATTCACCATATCCTCAATCTTAGAGGGACTTTAAAAGCCACAGGTAGTACAAGCGTAAATTCAGTACAAGTTAAAAATAAACACTTCTGAACTAATAAAATTCTATAAACCCACATGCCCTTCCTGGACCTTTTTTATTTCTGACTTGCAAGTTTCTAACAAAAAGGTCTCCAGTAAATGTTAGAACTCTCCTTAAACAGAGCTTCTAAAAAAGATACGTCTCGTAAATTTAGATGGTTTTGTTGATTGACCTTCAACGGAAATGATACTGAAATTTGATATATTGTATTATTACGCTTGTTGTTATGGCAGCCTGCTTCATAGGGGGAGCAACCCAGCTCGATTTAACTGTACCAGCAATAAGCCTTCTTCTCCGCGACACTGCAGATAGAAGTACGAGGTAATTGGAGACACGGAATAGCGTCGATAAATTTTTAGAGTACTCCGTTCAACGTTTTGATTGGACCTTGATATTGTCGCCGACACATTACGAGAGGCAGGGCGTGTCGAGATTTGCGAATATAATTGTCGCTCCACGTCCAATCTGATTGCCCCACCAGCCAATAAAAATATAGACGAATATAGCAAAACAACAGGCGTGATAATAACATGCCACTCGAGCGTTTTCAACGTGGAACGTTCTTTGGCTAGCTGCGGATTTAGTGAAGCCGCAGTTCATGAAGCCGTGGTCTGTGGCGTCCCATGGCTTCATGTCACGTGACCTATCCGCAAATTTAGTTTCCTCGCTAAATTTGGCGGAAACATTGACGCCACGTGCCATAGTCAGGTGACCTATGCGAATGTACATTTCCCCACTAGGTATAGCGGGAAAATCGACCCTCAAGACAACTTCGGTTTTGTCGCTCAATTTAGCGGGAAAACTGACGTCACATTACTTCGTATAGCATGACCTACACGCAAATTCAGGCTTCACGTTAGATTTAGCGGGAAGATTCACGTCACGTGACACGTGGCACAAAAATTCAGTTTACCCACAACCCGCCATTCGCCATACCCTCTCGACACGGGCCGACACGACGGGGAAAGACGATAAGTCGACGAGTAAAAGGGTGGAGAGGATTCAAGGGGGTGTACAAGACTGGGGGGTGGCGCTAATGGTGCGGACTCAGTAATGTGGAGAGGAGTGGAGAGAACTCGAGGCACAGCTCGAGAAGGACTGCCCGGAGGTTACTAGCGTTTGTGATGCAAGAACGTATCACGTATCCAACACAACTGCCTAGCATTTTGCCACATAGTTTTTTTTTTAGCATCCAGTAATTACACATCAACTTTAAGTGTTTATTGAATTATTCAGAAGTACGTATCTATATTAAGTCCCTATTCATTTTTCGTCCAGTTCATCATAATCGCTGACAGCTGACGAAACACAGGGTGTGGCTTATTATCATTGTACGTCCCGATTCGCTATTTTGTGTTCTCCACTGCAAATGGAGTAATCTCATTGGCTGCCACCACCTGCTCCGCGCCCCTCGTTTCTAAAACCGTAAGTCAATGAAAGTTATAGAAACGCAGGGCGGGGAATATTCAGGACTCTCTCATTCTTGCTTTGGAGCCAACCAGATTGAGTCATTCACCGGTAACAATGTCGAAAAACGAGTCACAGGGCAAGAAGAGTCTCTTATACTTTCGGTGACTGTAACAATGTTTGAAGCTTAGAAATTCATACCTACCACATTAGCGCCGGCAACTCTCTTCCCTGTGGCATGTGGTCTTTTCTACCGCTTTACAACGACACATATATTAACACAAGGCTGCAGTTCAAGGAACCAAACATTCGCACTCACATTTGCCCTTTTCTGCAGACACGCTGTCAACCCCATCTTAGGTCAAACGGTGTTGCTGTACCTAACTTAAGGCGCGTTCACACATGCGAGTCGCAGCAGTCGAGCGATAAAGATCCGGCTTTCTGCAGGAGACGTAACCAATATGTCCGTCCAACACCTCTGTTCGCTCTAGCGGCCATGGAGGTCTCTTCAGTGGCTCTGATCTACTCATTCTGGAGGCTTCACCGTATGTTAAACGTATTACCCTTTCCCCACTTGACGGGTTGTAGCCATGGTAAGGCTCATTTGAGCGCGAATGTAGAGACGTTCTGCTACAAAAGGCGAAATCAATCTTGGCTGGAACCACGGAGTCGGCAAGTGGAGCTATCAGTCTTTGGCCGTTTTGCAACAGGTTTGTGAAATAAAAGACAGTAAGATGTTTTTATTTTAGTTCATCGAGCCCCATCATGTGTCAATGTTTCACCTTCTGTATGGAAGCTGCGCAAGCTCGATCCAAAAACTGCGCCGAAATCGGTGCAGACTCAGCAGTCGTTGGACTTTGAAAGTAACGACGAAAATCGAACAGCCGCTGAAATTCCGCTAGTGCAAGAGATAGCCTTCACGATAGCTCAGCTTCCTTTCGTTAGATTGCACTAGATGTCTTCAAAGATTCTCGCTCACTTAGGCTTGTTTTTTTGCTTTCATACGTACGTGGATGTACGTACGTACTACACCGCGGATGCTCTAGTGAGAGCATGCCGAGTGATTGTGCTTTCATTCTTCGGTTCTGAAGGACCCAGACGAACATCAGACGTGTTTCTTTTATGGTGAAAAGGACGTATGTGTAGGTGTGCGGACACAAAAATGGGAAAGCATTAAAACACTAACCCTAGCTGTAGCGGGAGTGACGAACTTGACGGCAGCTCCTGAAAATTTCGAAAAGCGGCTCACCGGGAGCGATTCACCGATCACCCGCTGTGTGAACGTCCGTGATCGCTTGTTTCATGTCCCTATTCGGCCCCTCGTTCGTTTCAAATCGCAAATGTTAACTACCTTTCACCCTCATCAACAAAAGGGAGATTGACTGGCTAGAGAGCAGAAAGTCAGCCAACATTTAAATAAGGGCGTCTAATTAATGCACTTTCATTAGTACATACGATGTCTTGACTGAACGTCGAGGAGTAGTGGCCAGGCGAATGCACCTTGGTCGTAGACTTATCGAGATCAACACTGCTTGTAGAGAAAATTTGGCACAGTTTATATTGCCGCCCGCGCAACTGGCCAAGTCGGCAGCGCGCGCGTGGCCTAACGGTTAACGCGCCTACCTCCCGCGCGAAAAGCCAGGGTTCGGTTCCTGGGAGCGACGCATCTTTTGTTACTCCTGTAATTTAGTTTTCTGGTAAATTCGAGAATCCTGCTGGGGGGAGCTTGTTCGAGGTCCGAATGTTCTACACGTCGAACATTCTACGCCGACTATTCCAGAAGCTCACGCATGTACGTAATGGAGCTCCGCGTCGCAAGCCGCAGATAGTCTCGCCCCAGCGCTCGATCCTGCGGTTTCGCCGACGGCGACGCCCGCGACGCTCTCCTGCTTTCTTCTGTTTCCTTTTTTATTCATTAATTTGGGCACAAGTTTGCCCCATTAAACGTTTTGTTTACCTCAGTTTTCGTCACCTGATCACCTATCATTCGTGACAATATAACCGCCTTCCGGGAAAAGGAAGAGGCTGTCTTTTTAATACACTCCTGGCCGAAGTTCATGCCGGTGATCCTTATTACATATAAACCGCAAGAAACAGAAAGTGCTTGTGTGTGTCAGGAGAGAGGGTTGGGGGGACGAGGTTGGCAAAAAGGGAAGGTTTATTGGCGTCCAAACAAAATGCTATGGTTAAAATGCGGAAAACGCAAAAAAGATTCTTGCACAGATTGCAGAGACGATAACATTTCTACTGCTCTGGCCATTTGATTTACGTTACTTGAAAGAAATATGAAACGGCAGTTCATTATCTGAAGATCACACTTATCCATCGTAAGAAAAAATGTTCTCGATTAGTTAATTTTCTGAATTTCTTACATATTTTACTCTTTGTTGAAATCTTATTAGCATATTGGTCAGTGTTTGGAAAAACCTAATATTTGTTCTGTGATTATCTTTTGTTCCCAACCCGCATTTTGTGCCGCATTTTTCAAAGTGCAACATAATATAGCAAACGATTTACAACATTTTGACTTAAGGCGATAAACTTTTTTTCGGTATTTTAGCACCTAATCTGCCTTGAAATAAACTTGTCTGAAAAGAACCGTGATAGTTAAGTTAGCTCTTAATTTGATATCATAGTGCGCATCTTATTTTCTAATTTTAGGTGGATGGACGAGGAGTTGAAAAGGACATTTACCACGATAAAAGTCAGATGGCAGCTGTCTCCCTAACAGAGAAAGACGGAGCTGTAGAAGTGGTGAGAACACTGCATTTATGACCTTTATTAGACCCTTGCCTAAACTTCGTTATTCTTGAATCATGTGACATGCGCGAAAAACCCGTTCAACTTGAAAGGCCCACAATGAATGACACCCGAATTATACTGCATCAATTTAAGCCAACATTTCCCCCCTTGTTATTGACGAAAATCTGACTTGTGGTAAGGACTGAGATTTTAAATGTTTTTTTTTCTCACAAACTGTGTCGTAGCATACCCCTGATAAAAGCGTGGAATGTATCCCAGAAAGCACTTGAGGTTTTTTGTAGCAAACGCGGCATTGTATCTGTGTACTAACATTAATGCGCGTATCTCATAAAGGTTATCTAAGTTTACCTTTAGCACTTCTGTATAAGCTACAAATTATTTTTAGCTGCGGTTACTTTAGCGTACGGCAAACTTTACATTTGTTTTCAATAATAAAAGTGAATCACTAACATGCATACTAGACAAAAGTCATGCGGCGTTCAACAGTCGTTTTTCATAAACAAGTAAGTACTGGGTAGTAAGAACTAATCTGACAGCTACATTTATGAAACATCAAGTGTTGCATATAAGATATAATTTGTGTTTGTAGAAAAGGCGTGGTTCAAATTTCAAAAACGCGGTTCTTCATCAATTAAAGCTAGACATAACGTCTAGTGAATTAGTTCGCATATGTGTTTTTACGAAAGTACGATATAAGTATTACACAGTACGAAGTACATTGGTATCACCGGTCGATTGCACGAAGGAGGACAGGCGGATTTCATCCACCTTTGTGCCTCTTTAAGAACCCCTGCACCCTCAAACGTATTTCTGGTTTTACGAACCGTTTTAATCAATCATTTCGTCCCCATGTCATCAAAAACTGGAACAGTCTCCCATTCTCCATTGCTACCATCGTAGACCCAGCAGGACGTTTTTCCTGCTATAAAGTTACATTTGCTTGTTATGAGCTTCGTTCTTCAACATTTAAATATTGTATAAATGCCGTTAGTTTGTCCGGAGTCTATCATGTTTTGTTTTTAGTTTGTATTTGGCATTTGTTGTATAACCCTCAGAACACCCCCCCCCCTCTTACGTGATTCCCATGAATGAATGAATGGATAAATATTTATTGGCCATAAAATGTTTAAGCATCATATTAATGTAATGAGCAAATATTCTATTCGGGGAATAAGGAATTTTATGCTAATCATTTTTAAATGGAAAACTATTCTCGCAGCATTATCCCCGCACATCCCTCATCATTTTCCAGTTCAACCATAAACATTAATATTCAAAAAAGTGCTTGCAGTGTACAATAAGTCTGTCAAAAAATAATCGCTCATTTTTATTAGATAACCAACACATTTACTTTCCATTAAGTTATTATTTTGCCAACTGGGTCAGCGATATTAATTAAGACTCGATGAGGTATTTCCGAAATCAGAACTTTGCATAAACTATTTCACCGTTACACACAGAGCGGGGCTCTGGGTCACACGCTGAGAATCGCTCCGCTGTCACTGATGGGACGCTCTGAAGATGGACAGATTGCGCACAAAGTTTTTAAAATCGAGGAGCCGGCGCAGTACAAAACGGACTACATAGGTGAGATACGGCACTGCACTTCGCATGCCAAGTGCTTTTGTCTTCTCCTGTAATTACCAGCCCAAAGTATAAATAATAAAACGATGGTTCAAATAACGCCATGTTTCTGATTTACCAGAGGGACAAATTTAGAAAGATCAACTGTGTAAAGAAAGAAAAAGTGACAAAAGGACAAAGTGTTAAACTCAGCTGAGCATTTATTCAGTAAATTCCTTATATATATCCTACTCTTAAGATCACCACTCTTTATTCACAACCCAACCACAGAACACTTCGTACCGGCTACCTGCCCCCTTCTCTGAATAACTGCAATTTGCTAACGTCAGCAGTTGTTCGGAAAAAGAGGGGCAAGTGGGAAGGCCGAAGTGTTCTGGTTTAGAGCTGAAACAATTATTAGACCTTTCGTGAGGACATGGTTGAAACCTTGAAGGTAAAATGTATGTAAGAGAGGTTTACTGAATAAACTTTTCACTGAGTTTGAGCTTTTGTACTCCGGTCACCTTTTCTTTCTCTTCCACGGTTGGTGTTTCTGGTTTTCTTGCCTCTGTTTCGGGTATTTCATCAAAATGGTAAAATACAACAGCTCGCCTGCGCTCTAATAGAAATTTTATTATATAAATATAGAGAAATTTGTTTATTCAATAAATTACAATAGCATGATTAGGGCGGCGCCTTTTCCTTGTGTACGCACACATCCACACATCGGATGAGGTTGGGCAAACATTAGACTACGTTCGTTTGCTTTCTTAAGTACTATCTGCGAAGCTTTTGGTTCAATTCAGAACAAGGCAAACCGACACATTACATGCCCAAACTAACACAAGAATCAAGAGGATAATATAATATTACTTGGCATTTCTAAAGTAGAATATTTTCGACTTCAACAAACAGCCCTCCTAGACACGTGAATCGTTGGTCACAGCGACGATTTTTTTTACTCGGCTAGCGACTCTCATCAGACTTTTAAAAAGCCCTTAGCGCTAACCTCAACGAATGCTTATAAGAGTGGGCCGTTCATTGATTAACGTTTAAATTAATTGATTAACGTTTTAATCGTGATAAATATTTCAACAGTTTAATCGGTTGTGCCAGGAGAACAGAGTCACATGACCAAAAGAAGTGAATAAATGTCTGTTTAGCTATTTCTTGTATAGATAATAATAATAAATAGATAATAATACTTGCAGAGATAATAATTAAAAAATGCTAGTCTGAAATTATGTGCCAATACGATCTCAAATTAAAACACAAACTTAAAGAAAACTAAAAAATAATGGTTCTACGAACATGCGCCTCCAAATGAAAAGGCTTACCTTACATCTTGTGAGAGCAAAGATGGGCGACAAACTATCAACATCCACTTAGTATTCTTGCAGAGTCTGAATCGTCCAGATATATCAATACCAACAAACCCCCCCCCCCCCCCCCCCCGAAACTTCGCGATCAATCTTGTGGTGTAAAGAATTACCCGTAAAGAACTCTCCAACGTGAATCTAAGCATCGTTTTTTGAGTGAAAAAGAACGCTAACAAAGTGACCAAGTTTCCTTTTTATTTTTTGTCAACTTTGACTAGGCTGGCGGCATTATCTCGATATTCTAATACGACCAATTTTTGTTTATCTTACAGTCCCAACTGAACGAAATCTCTGGGCTAGGCCACGTAAGTAATGGCACTTACCTAGAACTAATATATTACATTTTATTTACAAGATATAGTATAACACAACAGCGAAGAACCCTTCAAGAAATATTCACTAAGAAAACGCATTTAGTAAAATGTTATTTGATAATTTGAAAATACCACATATGATGTGAACTGGGCACTGCACGAACCAGTCAGCAGTAATACGGCATCAATGTTTTCTTGTTGTTTTTTTTTTGCATTTTATTCGTATAGATAGCGTCGCATTGCGAACGAAGCATGTCGTTTAAGTTGCTTTATCAAAGAAGCACCTTTTAACGAACAGTGGTTTTGGTGGCATCATTTTAACTTTGCAAAAAAAACGATACCAAATAAAATTTGTTCGTGCCCACTGTGTGTGTATGAAAATAATAAGCATTACATTATGACGTAATCACTCCTGCGAAAAAAGGTCCTTAAAGAAACTTATAAAAAAGACATACAAAATAAGGGGGAGACCAAGGAGCATTAAAAAAATATTCACCACGAACCGTACCAAAGAGCATCAATCGAAACACGAGATATAAAAAAGCACATGTTGATATATTGACACAGATATTTATACTTAGCTCAGAAGAGTCTGTTCGTGTGTGGACTTGTGTTCCTTTCAGAGCTATTTCGGCAGTGTCGTCTAACATCTGAAAGATTTCCGCTACAGGTGCTTTAATTTGTTCAAACAGTTTGTCTTCGACACAGATCCTGGTATATCCAAGACGAGACCAAAAGAGTAGCGGAGACAGTACAGTATTATATATTCTTTTCTTGGACACAAATTTGTTCCGTATTTCTGGAATCAAAGAATAGGTAGTTCTGGAGTGCATTAAATTTTGCAATCAATTCATTGCTTTTCTACTGAGTAAGTGGTAACGAATGATTTTTATGCACTTTCGGCTATTTGAACCACATTTATGATAGTTTTGTTCTTCCAGCGTTGCAACAAGCCGCTAAAATTCCTGAAGTTTTCACGGTCGAGATGGCATTTATTTTTGATCCCCACCACAAAAAGGAATTTCCAAATGAAAGAAGTATGTTAATATATGCTGCAACGACAACTGTCCTGGTACGACTTCTGGGTTTTGGTTCATTTTGTTTACTTTTTCATATAACTCTTTTTGCCTACCTGCTTTCAAGTGCGAAGCACAACTTATATACGTTATGTTATGCGTTATGTACTTTATGCAAAAGGTATACGTTATGCAAAACATTGTTCACAGTAGCCAGAGGAATCATTAGACAACATTTAGAACATTCCTAATTATCCATTTTAAGGATTGCTTGCTGTTCAGAAACTTTTCGAGATAACCAAAATGTGGCCTGCCCTGACACCAATCACATAAACAAAACAAAAAACTTTTCCGAATATTTGTTTATGTTTAACTCTCAGCACACGGTTTCTATTAGCACTAATGTTTTAAGGGTATTACCAAACATGTCTACGCAACTCTTCAACACGGCTAGAATCTGATTTATCGCTCTTAAAATAGCAACTATTTGTTTTGTGCGAGGAACTAAAAATGCTACCCTTTGAACACTCAAAATTACATTTAAGTAATGTCAAGCCTACCTAATTTGGAGCTCGCTGTTTACAGTCAAATACATTGGTATCTGAAAACCGGTTTGCTTAAATGTTCTAACAAGCACTTCATGCGCAAGGAATGTACGATCTTTTCTTGTGGACATCCTCCACTATAAATATACAAGTATAGTTCATTCATTTCATTATTTTAAAGTATACAACAGACGTTTACAAAACTGAAACATTTGATGATCAAACATTTTGCCAATCAATGGGGACCATCACAGCACAATCTGTACCATAATTTGAAAACATGTGTTGCCATTGGCGGTTCAGGCCTCACAACGGAAGTGTCCTGGTTTCTTATGCCTTTTTAATGAGAAAGCAATAACTGGGGGGGGGGGGGGGGGGGGGTCGCATGGAGCGAAGCCGGCGTCTGTAGCAGTGAAACGGTACCTAAATTTCCATTGGCTGCGACGCGTCATATCACAAGCTTCTTCACGGAAGCCGGCGGGGCGCTCATAGTCAAAGTGGACGTGCGTCAGAGATGAAACACAAAGAAAAGCACAGCAACGCAGATATACCGTCACAGAAGGCATGGAGCCGGAGGGGTTCACCGTGTCTGCGCAGTGGGGGAGCGTGATGTCACTGCCGGAGCACCTTGTGAAAAAGAAAGACATGGCACGCTGCTTGTAGGAATGCACTGCGTGAAGGAATGCTTTCCCATTCCTTCACTTAAGACTGTTTACGTGAAGGATTGTGAAAGCATTCCTTCACGTAAGTAGTCTTAAGTGTCCTAGTGTAAGTGTTTGCTTAAACATTAAGTCCTAAACTAGTTACTTACTACAACGACATTTTATCTTCACGAAAAACCAAACCACCTCTTGCCTAGGCCAAATTGTACCAGCACACCGTGTACCTGAATTTTCCGTGCCATTAATTAAACACAAAACGAGCCATTAGTCAAAACTTTTTTTTATTTCGATAAGTGCAAATCGTGTTTAGAACAATAAAGAAAAAATATGAATTGTGGCCATGCTGGGAAGGCTAGAAAAGAAACATTTTTAATAAAGTCAGAACGAAGTCATTCCTGAGACATTCACATAAACAAAATAAAGGCACAGGTTGTTGTCTATATTGCCGCGCTCCAAGTAGGCGGCGCGGCCGTAGCCTACCGGTTATCGCGCTTGTCTCCCACGCAAAGGGCCAGGGTTCGATTAAAAAAAAAAAAAGGGCCAGGGTTCGATTCCTGGCCGCGGCTCCGCATTTTTGTTGACACTGTAAGGTGGTGTTCTGGTGAATTCGAGAACCGTTTACGGCCGCGCTGCCTACTTGGCGCGCGGCAATATTGCCCTTCTGCAAAGTTCTCTGGTTAAGGAATATCTTGTTGACCGATAAGCTCAACTTTCCAAGAATTTTCGCGCTGCAGCGTGCTTTCATAACACAACTGACTATTGTTTATTTTGTGCATTTCTTATGATAAAAATAGCAAAAACTTGCAATACAGCAGTAAATTATTAAAGCCTTTATAAAAAAAGAAAAAAAACAACGGGCAAAACACAAAGAAAGAGCAACAAAACAACATATATCGCTTTCTTCGAAGCATTATCTGTTAGCTTTTTGTTAACGTTGGGAGAAACGAGAATTACAAGATACTTGACACAGCTGTTTCGGGAGGAAGTCTTCCCTCCTCAAATGTGCCAGACTAGAAGGATGTTTTTTTCTGCCCATCTTGCGTTTTTGTTTCAATAAAACTTCACTAACAATTCGGTGTTCTCTCACCGAATGTTCTAGTTTACTCGGCTCGTGCGATGCCAAACAAGAGACGTCACCGCAATTTCTGAGGTTACGGTATAATTCATCTAACGTTGATTTCAAGTACGAGAGGTGATCAAAACGTTTTGGGACTAATTTTGTTGCGTAGAAATTGAGAGCAGTACAGTGATGCGCGCACAGCAGTCAAAGTATAGAACCTTCGTGTCTCATCATACCAAAGGGCGTCGCTCTGTGAACATTTGGAGCTGCGCTACACTAGTTTGTTTGACCACATGCACGAGCATGATGGCGATCGGTCCATACACTGCAAACCAAGGCGTGAACGAACATCACTTGTATGTCAAGCTCAGGAAACATAAAAAAGAGACCTCTAAAATGATTTAGAAGGCTTATGCAAAAGAAAAAGTGAGGTGTGCGAGGTGTTTTGAGTGGCACACGCGCCTCAAGAATGGCAGAACGTCACCGAAGTCAAGGAGAGGTCGAATAAAGTCGCCCTACCGCCCTTCATTTTCCAGCGATGTTCTGCCGTTCCTGCAGCGCGAGTGCCACTTAAAAAACTTCGCGAAATTCACTGCTTTTTTACACGAGCCTGCTGAATCATATCGAAGGTCTCTGCTTTATATTTGTCAATTTTGACGCAAAGTTGATGTTCGCTCTCGCTCTGGTTTGTAGTCTATAGTAAGATCGCAATTGTGCCCATGCACGTGGTCACGAAAACTCGTGAAGCGCAGCTCCGAATATTAACACAGCGGCGCCCTTTGGTATAGCGAGACACGAAGGTCCCTTCCTTCGGCTGCTGAGCGCGCATCACTGTGCTGCCATCTTTTTTTACGCTACATGATCAGTCTTGGAATTTTTTGATCCGAGTACCTTTTTCATGGTATTCGTGAATTCAGCATGAAATGATTTCTGCCGCTTGTTCTCCCCAGAGAATAAACACAAAATTGCTGATAATTGAGAAAATGATTTATAACCAATGATATAAGCAAGCCCAATATCAGCCATTAAAATCCAAGTATTTAAGCAGCTAAAAATAGCGGTTTTAGTGCAGTACACTGAAATGTGTCAATCTTACAGTACATAAGATGGCACAAAAATGTCCTTTATGTGCACCAAATAAGACAATAATGGTAGGAATTAAATATTTATTTATCTTTAATCGTGGAATATGATATTCCCATGGAAAACCATATTAATATGAAAAAATAGGTTTCTTGCTGTTTTACGTATTTTCATGGTACTCGATCAAAACTTACGGCGCTAGTATAAAACACATCATAAGTTGTACACGTATGTCTCTTCAGGTAAACATGCGATATGAAGCTACTTCCAATCCGCTAGTTCAATTTGTTCTGGTTGCTGTTCTTCAAGGGGTACGTTGCTTTTCATGCTTTTCTTTGAAATGATCACTGTGTTTTCTGCGTTGCTAAAAGATCTTGTATGTAAAATTACGCTTTCCTCTAGGACTTTTTCGCGCGAACTGTAGTGGCACCAGATGACTTGAGGAAATCCTCTCACAAGAAAACATATATGCTCTCCAAAGACACGCTGGATAATCTTGCGAAGGCTGTTCACACGGGACAGATCAATGTTAAGGCGGACCTCGTCACCTTCGTTACAAAGTAAGATAATTTGTTTCTATATACTTTTGTTTACTAGCTTAAGCAGCGAATCATCTGAAGTGATTGTCGAGAAGTCAGGTGTACCTCGCTTTATGGGAACATACCTATACGTAACTCCGAATGCCTGTGCTTTGGTTAAAACTTTCAAAACTGTGTCATAAAGTAGATAAGGTATTTATTAACATAATATTTTGCATATATTGCACGTGAACCTGCGGTATTTCTAGTTTTTATTATAAAATGCAGCTCATTCACCCGTTTGTTGGCATGAAATGAATAAAAAATGAATGTCTAAAAATCTTTACAAACAGCAACAAATTAGCTTCGTAAAATTTCGTACACCAATCATTCACCTATATTTTGTACTGTCATTTTTTTGTTAAATATATGCGCAATCAGTACTCACACAATTAAAGCCGTGCAAATATACCGTGCCCTAAAATATATTTTACAGGGTTTTGTATTTCACCGCGAAAGTAGACTACACATCACCCAACGCTCATTCACCGCCCGAAGGTAGCGATTGAGGTCCGAACCAGATGGCAAAGTTTCAGCACGAATCGATATTCTATTCGAAAGTTATAGAAATTTTCTGAACCATTCATAGGAAAACGGGGCTAATCTGCCGCATGTTTTACGCTTCTGGCGACACATACCTTCACGTATTCGAGAGATCCGTCGTCTGCTATTTTCATAATAATTTTTTTAGAAAATAACTTAAAACTTTTGAATAAGTTATCGGTTCGATCTGAAACTTTGGCATATAGTTCGGACCTTTAGCGTTACATTTGGGCGAAGAATAAGCGCTCGGCGATTCGTAGTTTATTTTGCGGTGAAAAAAATCTTTTGTAAATTAAATATTGGAATATTTAGAATCAGAATTATCCAATAAGTAGAGCAGTGTATTTGGGCAGCTGAGAACGCTGCTCCTTTCATTTGTGTTTTCAAGCGCGTACGGCAACTGGGCACCTTACACTTTATGACGTCATTCAGATAACATCAAGTAAATAATGCAGCAATTAAGAAAACATCAAAATAAAACTGAAAATATCAGTACTTACTTTTTCTTAGAGAAAGTGCCAATTCCTAACACGTTTTTCTGCGCACCGTTTGGGAGTAGAACGAGTTGCTCTGCAAAGTACCTTCGGCATAAATAAATATATCAAAATTATTGCACGAATAGCGCAAATATCAGATGGTCTTCTACTATCCACTGAAAGCATGGACAAACATATTAACTTGTCTTAATCCTTCTGATAAGCCACACAGACTGGGTCGTTTTTTTGTGTGTGTTTTAATATAAACTTTCCATGATTAGTTTCATAAACCACACGTAATGTGTCGTGCGCGCATTATTTCTCCATCATGATATGATATGCTGGTTGGCGGAGTTTTGGGTGGTTTCGTATGCGCTACACCCACAACACTCTTGTGTTCTCCAGGTTTATCAGAATAATGTAAAAATTAATTCAGGAGTGGACATGTTTAATGCAACGTTTCCTATGGGTTTTACATGTAGGTGTGAGCGTGTAGGGCATCGAATTCTTCGGGCTCTTGAATGGAGAGGACCCCATGTGTTAATTAGAGTAATCGTGAGGGGAGGTGGTTTATTACGCCTTTTAAACTTTGTGTTCACCTGAAATTGTGACGTCATACGGACGCTGCGCTCTCCCTTGGTACAATGTGATCCACCCTGTGATGCTTGAACACGTATGCTGGATTAAGTATATCAAATTATGCTGGATAAAGTGTAACTCGCTGCGGACGGTCCCCTGCACACTGACTATACTGGACTGAGTACGACTTGCCACAAGTGGTCGCATAGATACTAAATATTTTGGTCTAAGTACGCTGAAATCAGTATTACTCACCGCGTATAGTCGCGTGCTACCGCAGGCAGCCGTCGGCGTCGAGTCGTACTTAGTCCAGCTGCCTGTGCGCCCTTTCACCTCCTCTTCGCAGCGCCGAGCAAACACGTCGAACTGCGGATCGCATGGTTGTGTGTTCGATTTCCGCTGATCCCCTTTGGTGAAGATCGGTGTTAAAATTAATTCCGGATGGTTATACTATTTATGCTTTATTATGAGTGAGCATACCCTTTGCGCTTTTTGAATTCTTATTTATTCATTGCTATGCGCTTTGCATAGCAGAGCGCATAGCAGCAAGTAGATATGCAGACCGCTTGATATTCATTCTAACAGAGGTTTAAAAAAAAGTGGTAAGTTGCACGAATACCGTCTTTCCAGTGTATTTATTGTGTTTGGTTTACATTAGATTGCGGGATCACCGTCTAGGTCAGCAAGCTGGTGAAAGAAAATCTCTGAATTAACGCTTTTTATTGGCTTTTATGTCATATTACAATTCCAGTATTTACTTACGGCAGCTACTATGAGTGACCAGACCAGCTAAACTAATATGTGAAAAGATAATGTTTTGTTTCACATCTATTGAAAAGTATTCGCGTTACTTCGCCCGATATAAAAATATAGCCCAAGAAAAGCCCCGACGCCCTGTCCACAATTTCATTTAGAAATGTGACATACGCGTTTCAGTTACAACGTAAGCATACCTTCAATGTGTTGTCAATGCATCCACCAAGAACGCGCTGCCAGATAGTAACGACGTATAGAATCCAGACCTTTAATTTGAGTATGAACCGCTTCAATGTTCCTTCTAAAGTTGTTAGTCAACGTTGTTGCGCAAACGAAAATTATTCATGAGTATCACTCTACTGATAGACATTATATTGTCATGAATGAGAACGACGAGGTGATGAACAGTGAATAAAAAATAAAGGTTTACTCGGCGAACTTGTGCCAAACAAAATAAAGAACGAGCGTCGAGGCAGCAGAAAAGTGGGCGGCGATTCGGTGGCGTAACAGCAAGCGAAAGAGAGACTGACCCGAAACGGCCACGCGCAGCTCCTTATCCAGTGTGCGTCGCCATCTGGAATATTCGGCCCAAAATGCTCAATCGTCGCGCGTTCGGGGCTGGAATCAGCCGTCACTTTCGAGAACGAGGAAGCAGGACGAAATGATAAAATTTACATCCCGATTAAGAATAAACGAGAATCTTCTAGAAGTGAGTGACCGAGCGTTGCATGCTCGGCCCTGCGCGCGGCTTTATCCCCCCCTCCCCTTTTTAAAAGAGCATCGTTCCGATACAACGCGTAAGAAAAATAAGAACGGTTAATAAAAAAACAAGCTGAGACGAAATAAACATGAAGCGTCACAGTCCTAACGCGCGTAGAACGACTTGAGTCGAACTACGTGGAACACTTCGGGTGGAACGACCTTGAGAAAACCAAGCAGAAATCCGACCACTAAAGCAAGAAATCAAGCTTTAGATTCTTTCCTGAAAGACAGTTCAGTATTTTCAAACTAATGGTACCATTCATGGGTCTATGCTACCTGATCGTTTTATTTCCTCTCGTGAGAGGGGCCTCTGCGCCCTTCTTATGCTCCAATCCTAGCATTCCCCAGCGGAACAATTCCGCTCAAAAATGTGCCGCCCTCTCGAACTGCCCAATACCACCGCACACGACTCGTGCTGCCGAACACCCCACGTGGTGTACTGCCAAGTAACTGTTAGGAATCTGAAGTCAGCGTGTCATACTTGAGAAGGGTATGCACTTGGGCTAGTTGGTGATCCATGTTTGTCAGGATTAAAAGCGCTAAAAACAACGGACGAGTAAAAGAAACGAACAACACAGAGCGCTGCATCATACTTTAATCACAGTTTAAAAATGTAAAACAAGTAAGACGAATAGCCAAAAGAGGCTTTCTAACGTTTAGACCTGCCATCTGTGGTATATAAATAAAACATAAAATAAATAGATGGAATGAGACTTCAGTTTTATTATAATTTTCAATATCTTATGTAGTATAAGACGAACCCTTATGTTAATGCACATATGGTAATAAACCATCTATAATGCTCAAAGCTTTAAGCCAGCTAAAAACCCTGTTTGTAATGGCATAAGCCGGAAATACAACAGTATAGCCGGCAGTTACCCCCTAGGCGAGTTTTGCGAAAGCACCATGGAAACCGTTAATACGAAGTTTCTGCATATTGTCACGAATGACAAGTGATGAGGCGATAATAACTTGAGAAACTAAAGGTTTAATGGAGCGAACTTGTGCCCCAAAATAAAAAGGGACAAAATAAAGCAGAGCGTCGCGGGCGTCGAAGTCGGCGTGACAGCAGAATCGAACGCTGGGGCGAAACTGACTTTGGCTCACCACGCGAAACTCCTTATGTACACGCGTGGGCTTCTGGAATAATCGGCGTAGAAAGTTCGACGCGTATAACATTTCGACCCCGAAGAAGCAACAGGATTCGCGAATTTTCCAGAACACTAAATTGCAGGAATAAACAATATACACGTCGCTCCCAGGAATCGAGCCCTGGCTTTTCGCGTGGGAAGCAGGCGCGATAACCATTATGCCACGCGCGCGCTGCCTAGTTAGCCAGCTGCGCGCGTGGCATTACTCTCCCCTTTAAAAAGTGCATCGCCCCGATTCAGCACAAAGCAAAACAAAGCAAACAGAAGTAACGGTAAACTTCAGAGTCATTTGGAACACATGAGGTCCACTGTCCTATAGAGCGTAGTGCGGCTTCATGTGCACGACGTGGACGACTTCTGGTCGTGGAGGGCGGCGTGACGAAGTCCACGTTCCGTCGGGCATCACCTCGTAGTTCAGATCCACGAGTCGACGAAGCACTTTGTAGCGCTTCAGTAGTTTCTCGCTAAGACCACGGCGGCGGATCGGTGTCCACACCCATACCCGGTCTCCGGGTTGAAAGTGGACGTCCCGGCGACGAAGGTCATAGCGGCCAGTGTCGATACGTTGTTGGGCTTGAATCCGGAGTCTGGCGAGCTGACGGACTTCTTCTGCCCGTTGGGTAACCACCTTGGTGTCGTCGCTTCCGTCGACAGCCGGTTCGTGGAATATCATCGCATCCAGCATTGTCGTCACTTTGCGACCATGACCCAGTTG